TATCATAGTGATGGGACTCGAGTGAAATTTAATCACTGGAGTCTGTCGCCAGTGATACCTAGTCACTTGAGTGTCACTCAAATGAAGATAAAACTCGAATGACTTTTTCACTCGAGTTACTCGTCTGTCAAAAACTAATAACACCATTGTTTTCCACGATTTTTAAAGGTTATAAGTCTTGACAAATCATTTTGATTAGAACTTGGACTTTTTTTGTTTCTGCTTAGTAAGCGATGCATTAGGTCTTGCAAGCAACTGTAGTTGCTGAAAATGCCGTTTCATTCATTGAGTTATACAAGACTAGAGGAGCAAACCACATTACCGAGCGCCGAAAAAAGTTAAGCCACTATCTAGCCGCGAGGACGTAGCTTTGAAACCACTAAACCTTTTTAAGTAAACATATATCTGTCTCACTTACACAAGTCACGAAAACAATACCGTAGCTAAGATTAGATAAAGATAGACACACAAACATGCAGTGACGGATTGGTATTACTTACTATATGAAATTTTACCCAAAAATAAGCAATAAAAAAGGGTTTTTTAAGCAGTTATTTGTTTTTATTTTAAATATGTATCTTTGCTTATCCGATGAATAGAAGTATAACTAATGAAATGAAAGATTTTTCGAAGTATCTTTTATTGTACTGATAAATCAAACAAAAAATAAATCAAGTTAAAAAAATCAATTTTGGGTTTCTTAACTTGAAATATTCATCAATTGTGAAAGCATCGGCAAGTCTTTGTCTCCTAAATTTGGTCTCATGACATTAGCCACAAAAACTGTGGTTATTAATATATTTTTAAGTTAATACTAAATGGTGTTAATCTGTCGTACTAATCCTCTTAAATAAACACGTTCGCCATCGCTTTTTGGTCCTAGTTTGTCTTGATCCCGGAAGTGCTTAGAAATAATGATAATAGATTTCTTAGGCACCCAGTGAGTCTCCTTTCTCAGCAATCGTATTATTTCCACCCACTTCTTACGGTGTGCTGCATCTTTAGGTACCCTGCAAAATTATTAATATAAAATAGGTAATAAAATATAATTAATAGATCTATAGATCTCTAGAATATTCTAAAATAAAAATAATTAATTCCTTTTTATAAAGGTTAAAACATAGTTATAATGACAACTTCCAAAATATTTAAAATCAGGGCTAACAAATTAATTTATTCCATAAATTATATAGTCGTAATAGTGTAATGTGGGAAAATTGCAAAGGCATAAAAGTGGCAACATTGAACCTAAATTGCAATATTCGATATTTTATTTCATTTTTTACGTTAATATGAAAACATAAACTAAAACTTACGTGTGGAAAGTGATTCCGCTTGATTAATTATGTTTTTGTGACCTTGAATCGCATTCTTTCACTACGCATTTACCTATTTTTTTGTCGTGAATCGTTCGGCGTCGCATTGAACATAGAACCGATGTTGCTTGGGCATATGGCTGTGGCCATATGTAAAGTGGCAACGCTTTGGCGCGGCAATTACTTATCTAGTGTAACATAAATCAATGGTTTCATTGATGTAGAATTGGAATCGGCAGACGTGGAAGCAGAACTCTTACTTTCAGTAGTTTAAAAACACGCATGAGATGAAATTGACTCACCCCTTATATCGTTATGCTAAATCTGATGTTTATTCTCCATATTAAGAGGAGTCAAGAAGGCAGTATTCTCAAAGTATTTGTTATTTTCTTGTACAACTTAAAAATAACTTTTTTGTTAAACATTTCTGTCGTAAAAAGTTCCAAAAAAGCTATCTATCACTCATTTCATGTTCGAAATGAGTGATAGATAGCTTTTTATTACTACGTGTTCGTAGTAATAGCAAACAGTCTTAAATAAACATATTACTAAAAAAACTACTCACTCAAATTTGTACTTAATATCAAATGGAAGATACATCGGCTAAACCCGTCTTAACTTGAATTTCTCACTGGAGTAGGTACAAGCCACTGGAGTGGTTCGAGTTGACTCGAGTCACTCGTGATCCGAGTAGTCATATTACTAGAGTGCGAGTAAAATAAAAGCTCGAGTGTAACACGCTAACACGGCTCGAGTCTAGCGATGCAAAGTTTTTAAAAATATCGATATATTGATATCGATATATATTGAATGAAGTTGATATTTATATATCGATATATCGGTCAAGTACGCCGAAGCCGATATATCGATATTTTATCGATATTTTCCTTTTTTTTTTAAGGTTAATAAAACGAAAATTTGGAAATAAAAAATGTATTATTTTAATATATAATTTTAAAAAAAATTTATTCCAGTATTTTGTAACCAGCTATTGAACTTAAAAACAATAACTTAGAAAGTCTGCTTCCATGTAACCGGTTTCGGCTCTGGGTTATAGTAGCTCCTGCCTTCGAAAAAAGACGTTCTGATGGAACACTTGTTGCTACAATCGGTAGATGACACATTGCCACTTTAAAAAGATTCGGATATACACCCTGCATCTCTTGCCATGTTTCAAGAACATTTACTTTTAAAGTATTTACAGGGGCAGAGAGATATAACGTGAGTTCATCGTCACCGTCAGTTTTTTTCTTTTTATCTGCGTGTGAGCCAAAGATTTGTGGTACTTCCAAAAATCAAATTCAACTTTTTCTTCATCTTCTGAAGAAGTTGACGAAGCCGTTACGGCAGATTTATATTCAGAAATGAATTTTCTAATTCGAGACATTGCTTTCACACAAGCTTCCGGTTTTTTAAAATGCAAGCTCTTGAATCGCGGGTCTAGCAATGTAGAAACGGCTAACAACATGTTGTATTCAAGATGGCCGAAACGCTTTTCTATCTCCAGCGTTATATTTCTCTTCAATTCGTCAGCAATAGTCGAAGTCACCCCCAATTCCTTGTATTGGTCAATTGCACAACTCACCATGGGTACAATTTTAGAAACGGTGACGTAACGTTCGGCAGAAGCCTCTCTTGTCATAGCTTCCAGTGGACGCATAACATAAGCAACATCTTTTATAGTGTTGAGCTGAACTGCTGTCAACATTGTAGGTGCATCTATTTTACAAAAAATTATGTCACTTATATATGGCGCCAAATCCAAAAATCGTTCAAGCATATAGTACATGGAATTCCATCTCGTTTTTACATCAAGTATCACTTTAAGAGCTTTTTCATCGGGTATTTTACTTTCTATTTGCTTTCTTTTTAATTCCAATGTCATGTCTTGTCTCTTTTTTACGTATTTTACTATATTCCTAACATGCTCTATTATATCACTCAGTCCGGAAGTTTTTCTTATGGCCTCTTCAGCAACTCTATTTATCATGTGAGCAAAACATGGGATGTGTTTGTGTGCCCCAAACGTCTCTCTTATTGCTTTAACCATATTTGCACCAGAATCTGTAACGAAAGCCATAACTTTTTCAGTATCTATATTCCAACTTCTTAATATTCCTGTCAATTGTTGTCCAATGTACTCGCCATTATTACTTTCTTCTAATTCGAAAACTCCAATAGTCACAGATTGTAATTCATTCTGTTGCAAAAAATGAACAGTAAGTCCCAGATAACCAGTGTTAGTCAATGTCTCTGTCCAAATGTCTGTAGTCAAACTAAAGTAATCCACATTTTTCAATTTATCCGCCACAAATTTTGATAATGTGTCATACTTTTTATCAATCTTTGCTTTAATTGTTTCCCGACAAGGCACTTTATACAAAGGGGCTAGTTCCTTAATCAAATGTCGAAAACCTTTTCCTTCAACCGCATAAAACGGCCTATTATCAACTGCAATAAAATACGCAATAGCATCTGTTATCCGGTCGTATTTTGCACCAACTTTAGAATATTGATACACATTTTCAAAAGCCTGTTTTATTTTTGGAGTGTTTGCAGATGTATTAGGAGTAGCTGGCTTAGTTGTAGGAAACACAACCACAGCAGACGAACAAGAAGCTTCAACAGTATCAACTGACGTTTCAGGGGGTTTAGCACTTTCGTCCGATGTTTGAAGATTAACGCTGACTCCAGCACTTCTAGACAAACTAGAAGAAGTACCACCACATTCAGTCAACTTACTGAAAAAGAAAAAAAAAACAACGATACTTATTTTTATTTTGCTAGACTAAATATATAATTGTTTTTGTCTTATACAACCATTTGCATGCTTAGGTATATTTTGTCAAAAAAAGAATATATGCGTTTATATATTCGCGTTATGTATCCGCTTATACCGATATTGATATATTCAATCGTCGATAGTTCACATAATACTAAAGATAAAACGAATGATAACTTAAAAATTTGTTTTAAATATTTCCATCAAATGTAACCTAAATTACATTAAATTGTACATTCATAGTATTTTGTGTTTATTAACTGAGAAACTAGCGACATACCGTTGTGATTTATCCAAGGATTTATCGTCCACATCACAATCTTCTGGATGTTTGTGTTTCATGTGTGATGCTAGATTGCTTGTATTTCCAGAAGTTTTAACTCGTTTGTTACAAATAGTGCAAATAACATTACCGTCTCCTTCTTTTTTGAAATAAGACCACAATTTACTTCTTTTCATATTTAAATTAGCAGTAAATAAATACAAAAATAACAATCAATGACAGCTCAGCTCAGCCTACTCAAGTCTACCACAGCCACAGACTTACACACTTACCATAGATTAGAGAACAGAATCACTTTGTAATACAGTCAGTGTTGCCATGTCAGTAATAGCATTTTACCCGGTTTTGTGAATATTTTAATTTGTGCTGGTTTTCAATATTTTGTTTCGATATATCGCGTTTTTTACGATATTGAATTATCGATATCGCTATATCGATAACTATCGACATTTTTAGGTGTCGATATATATCGGTTCTCCGATATATCGTTGCATCCCTACTCGAGGCCATCACTAACATATCATTCGTATTGGAATTTAGAATTTTTTTTAGAAAGATTTATTTCTTTTTGTGATTATTTTGCATATTCTTAATAGAAGGTTGTTTTAAAACTTTATATATGGAACTACGTAATAACTCTGTTGTAATCAAATGTCACAAATGTCGACATGTACTATTAAACGATCTGAACATTGCTCATAATAAACAATTGTGTGATTCAAAAGGTTGTGATAATTTCGACGTGAAAAAGTTTATTTATCTACATGAAGATAAAATTCCATCTTGGATCAAAAGAAAAGTAGAGAATGAGCAATGGACCAAGGGAAAATTACATTGTGAAAATTGTGGCTGCAAAGTAGGCTCCTTTGATTTTATTTCAGGAAGAAAATGTGATTGTGGAATGGCAGTATTACCTCCAATACATTTTGTAACTAGTCAAGTTGATATAGCTTTACCATTAATACATTTATTAAATAAATAAAATTGTGTGTTATTAATACATTAAGACATTTAACATTTAGTAATGCATATATTTAAAAGATCACATAACTTTACTAAAAAGCTGTAGTATGAGATTCAATTTGCCCTTAGATTAATAAACAATAAAGGAAAACATTCAATACAAGTAGAATCCGAGAAATTAAAAATATTTTTAGGACATACGAGGGCTGCACTAAAAGTATCGGGAATAGAATATTTCCACTGTTCCTGTCATATTAAAATCTTTTTAATTGAAAAGTCCTTGGTTTTAAAAATCGAATACCATTTATTTATTTAAAAAAAGATTCTCGGTCTTGTCACAAGGTTTTGTCAAACTTGTTTAGTCATTGAGAAAATGGAATTAACTCAAGAAAATTCAAGAGCGATGTTTTATTATGACTTTTAAAGTGGTTTAACACAAAAACTGTGTTGACCGGATGATTTCTGCATTTGGTGATGAAGTCCCATCCAAAACCACAATTTATCGCTGGTTTGCTGAATTTCAACGTGGATGTGTCAAGCTCAGTGATGATCCCGTCAAGGTCGTCCAAAAACTGCAGTCACCCAAGAAAACGTTGATACTGTGCGTAAGCTGATTGAGGAAGATCGATATGTGACATACCACGAAATTCAGGCAACTTTAGACATTGGCATGAGTCAAATACAAATAATCTTGCATGAACAATTAGGTGTAACAAAGTTGTTTTCCCGATGGATACCGCATTCGCTCTGTGAAGAGCAAAAAGCGGCTCGCGTTACTTGGTCCGCCAGAACTCTCGAAAGATTCCACGCAGGATCCTCAAATGCTGTATACAACATCGTATCAAATGACGAATCCTGGATATACGCGTACGAACCCGAAACAAAAAACCAGTCACGAGTTTGGGTGTTCGAAAATGAGTTAACGCCAACAAAAATTGTTCGTTCACAGTGTTGCAAAAAAAATGGTGACCACGTTTGTCTCCAAAACTGGCCATGTTACGACTATTCCCCTTGAGGGACAAAGAACGGTTAATGCAGAATGGTATACTAGCACTTATTTGCCACAGGTCGTTTCTGAACTCCATAAAAAGAACTGCAACCGCCGCATCATCCTCCATCACGACAATGAGAGTTCTCACACCGCACACAACAAGTTTTTAGAGCAAGAAAACATAGAATTATTAGACCATCCACCGTACAGCCCCGACCTAAGCCCTAATGATTTCTATACTTTCCCTAAAATAAAGAATAAATTGCGTGGACAGAGATTTTCATCACATGAAAAAGCTGTGGACGCCTACAAAACGGCCATTTTGGAGACCCCAACTTCGAATGGAATGGTTGCTTCAATGATTGGTTCCATCGTATGGAAAAATGTGTCAAATTTCGCGGAGAATACTTCGAAAAGCAATAAATACATTTTTAAATAGTAATGTTGTGTCACTTCCTTGATTCCCGAAATTTTCAGTGCCGCCCTCGTATCCCCTTTTCAGAGCTGTCAAACAATGCAGCAGAACAGCAAACTTTTCTGCTTAAGTCTCAAAATGGGAGTTTATTGGTTTTGCTTTCATAAATCAATACATTGATCATATTTGTATGTAAACATAAACTTTATTCAAAATAGCAACAATTGTTTTTAAACATAATTATTCCACGGCCATAATATTTTGAACATTGTCATTTACTTCAATGTCTCTGCATTGTGCTGCTTGTAGCTCCCTTCGTATCTGTCAACAATTAAACTTTTAGTAATGTTTGTATTAAATAAATGAAATTTGGACATTGAAAAACTAATTATTTATGTAATTCAAATACATACAAATACACTTTAAATTTAAATTACATATACAAACCTCTGGTGTGATAGTGGGGTGATATTGTTTTCTCAACAATTCTAGAAGAGCGTCTCTCTGTTCTGTAGATATATCAGCTTTGTATCGTTGAACAAATGTTAACAGTGCTTGATGCCATAATACTGGTAACGTGCGATGGTCAGATTGAAATCTATAACAGATTATTTTAACTATTCATACTACACAATATTTTACTACATAATTTAAAGTTTGTCATTCCTTAAAGTAGTAAATTTCATCCATATCATTTCATACATAATAAATTATTGTAATTTAAATAATATATCAAGATAAAAAATTATGAAGTACTAAAAGAATTGTTTAAGTTACCTTAGAAAATGAAAAACAACAGAATCCACTACTCTATAAGGAAGTGCATATTTTTTATCAAATAATATTCGCAGAAAGATTGAATTAGCGCCTGTATAATCCATTTCAGCTATTTTTAATAAGGCTGCACTGGAGTGCAAGACTGGGACTGAGTTACGGGCTAATACTGAGCCCACAATTATAGCTTCACGCAATGTACAATCCCCAGACTGAAATAGTAAAAGCAATCAATACAAATATACACTAATATATCATAATCTACACATAAATATAATTGAAGTGACTGTCTGTAATATTGAAATAACTGGCTTCTATTAAGCTCCTCAGGGGTTTATTTGCATGCTATATGCATGCATTAACAACAATTTTAAAAAAAAATGTCTATCTGTCTGTCCAGGCTAATCTTTGGAATGATAAAAAGGAAGAAAAGATGTTGGGTCATGGATTTCATTGAAAGAAGGAGACTGGATAATGTGGATGATACAATATGGGACATGCAATTTGGCCATTGATATGATTTTGACCATTTAATTATGGAAATTAGAAAATGAAATACAAATTATATAAACTCAATTCCTGTATCCCATAAACATCTGGAATTATGATAGTCTTCTTTAACTAGTAGACATTTTCTTGAGACCAATCTATAATTATTATTGTATCTATATTTATTCGATCATGTCACGAGAATACTACAGCACTTTGAAAAGACTGCTCCGAGGAGCGAGCGTGTCTACACAAAAGGACGCTCTGTCCATTATTTACGTGCTAGTGTGCTGTTTACATCAAGGAACGAGCATATTTAAAACATTGCATAAAATCTTCCCGAACAAATACAGAAAAACAAAACAATGCTCTGTTTGCTCGAAATAAAACTGATAGGGTGGGGCGAATCAGCATCAATTTGTTTTGTCTAAATCTGTCTTAATATCCTTAATCATTCTAGAACATTATTTAACATTCAATATCGTTCTTGAACATTTTACAATATGCTAGAGCATTCTGGCACATTTTAGGTAATTTTCTAAGACTGAAACATTTCAGAATATTATCCATCATTCTGACCAGAATATATTTATATAAAGTTTAGAACTTTCTAGAAAATTCTAATACTGTTACTCTAACACACTGAGCACCACTCAAAACATTTTCGACTCTATATAAAAGAAATACAATCTGTTAGGAAAATATATACAGTCTGTTCGCTTAGATACGGTCGCCTTTGTATCACGCCGCTTTGGTAGGTACGTGCCGCATCTTGTTAAAGAAGAATTAGGCATTTTGAAACTAAGCGCCATAGTGAAAGGTTCTTTGCCACCTAACTCATGTTTATTATTTATATTCGGATTTTAGTACAATATAACCTTATGAATATAAACATATTCCTAGAATAGAAAAACATTTATATAAGAAACAGTAAGAAATAATAAAGGGAAAATAATAAGTGCGCCTCTGGATGTACTGACACTATCTTAGTGAACAGACTATAATATATATATATGTACCAACTGTTACCCGCGACTTCGCCCGCGTGGTATTTATTATTATTGGATGGATTTCATAGGTTTTATTTGTTTTTGCGTGAAAAACCAAATTATTTTTCCATTATAAAGTTGCCTAAGTTATGCCCTATAACACCAGCTATCTGCCAGTGAAAATCCCGTCAAAATATGTCCAGCCATTTCGGAGATTAACCGGAACAAACAGACAGAGAGATAAACCTCATAATCTAGGGAAGACTAAGGACTGTCTACCATCACCACGAGTGGAGAAGTGTCTTTTACAACACTGTCCTCGTATCTTTGAATATGAGGTGGTATTGTTAGCCGTCACCACTCGTGCCGCATGTATTGCCATATAAGTTACCCCATTAAATTAGATTTCAATACATTTTTTATGGGGTAATTTTTTTATTAATTGTCTGGAAAGGATTATTTGAACATAATCTTGTGATATTATCTAAAAGCATCCTCACAAATGGGACAGGATTGTTCATTGTTCAATACAAATAATAGTGGCTAAGCTAAATGCATTCTGTAAATTTCACAGAACACAAGCAGCCCTTTTCCCACCGGCACCAATGAAATTGATAATTGCATTTTTAAGCAGTGATTTACTAGGAATGGAATATTTTGAGTAGCATGTGAAAAATTATATGAAATGCTTAGTCATATATCGCATCTGTCACATTCGTTCACATGATCTGCTACAAATAGCAATCTATGAAATCTCCAGTTTGGTCGGAGCTCGGAGCGAAAATTACGCTATTGTTACAGTGAATGTGAACATTGACCATAATCAGCTTTATAATGCCAGTCTTGTTTCAAGTTGTATCAAGTTTTGATCTTCTTAGATTTATAGCAGGCTGCAAAATAGTGAATTTTAACTTATTTTCTCAATTTTAATATTATCTTTTAATAACACATTTGAATACATATTTTTGATAACCCTCAAATAATTTCTAACAGTTGTTTGTATCTACTAATCACTATCAATATTTATCATCATAGTTATATTTAACACACTTACTTCTAGTAATGGCAGTAAAATTCCTTTCATGAAAGCCCCAGGCTTAAAAAGAGACTTTCTTAGTGCTTGATATAAATGGAAATTTAATCTTTTGTATTCAGCTAAATCATCTCTTACTCGAGGAAGCAAGACTAAATTATAGAACCTTTGTGCCATTTTCTCTTTAAGATTTGATGCAAATATACGAGTAGCCTGAAAATCAGAAGAGTAGTATTAGTATAATATCACTTGTAAATAAATTTTTACGAGTGTCGTATTAATGTACTTGCCTGATACATGGCTGCTGCAGACCATGTTGTAGGTTCAGTGAGATATAAAATTTGTTCCCAATTTTGCAGATGTGGGATCATTTTAAATGCTTTAGGCAATTTACCTGATCGATATTTCTGCAAAACATCTCGTACTCCTTGATACATAGCCTTTATTCTAAAATAACATAATAATGTATAATATGATAAATTGTTGATCAATATTTCACAACAAATATTTTTATATATTTATAAAAATATGTATATTTATGCAATTACCAAGTGTTCGCACAGCTTTTGCTGAGCAAAGCGATTTAGTCCATTAATTGAAACACTAATATTTAACAAAGTTATGAAGGCATGCAACATAAGAGATTGGTCGACGAACATAGCTAGAATAAAAATAAGTAATTGGTTGCTTACACTCAATTATGAACAAACAGAGAAGCTGAAGAATTGTCATAGTAACATTATGTCTAATACTGATAATTATTGTTATTATAGTAATAATTACAGAACATTTTATTGATTGCAAAAGTTTTTTTTTTTAGGATTGGGTGACAAACGAACACACAGTCCACCTGATGGTAAGTGGTTGCTGTGGCCCGTAGACATCTACATTTATCATCGTTTGCAAATCAAAATGCAGATGCGTTGTCACCCGTGAGGACTAAGATGGAATGCCTCTCTTCCAGTAAAAAGGGTCTCTGGTTCTCTACACTCACCATACAAAACACAGCAGTGTTAATCTGCTTTTTACGCTGGTATTCTGTGAGAGCGTGGACCTTCCCCGGTCGAGCCGACCCATTCATACTACAACTATACTACTAATATAGCTGCAGCATGGCTCTACCACGTTACAAACTTTTAAGTTGCAATTTAATTATGAATTTTTCGGTTTCTAGTGTATGTATATATAAAAAACAACGCCTCATTGCTATATTCTTTATTTTTATCTATTTTTTTACTATTAGAAATGTCTGCAGTTTCGTTTTTAATTTAATTAATATGCAGTAGCGTATCTAGTATGGCTGGCATTTCGTGTAAATATCGTGGTGTGCTAAAATTAATCAATAGTATCCGTCAAACGTGAAGTATGCTTTTATTTATTTTCGGCACCTAATAAAGTGCATTCACGGATTTGTGACACTTCGTAAAGCACGTTTCAATAAATCACCAGTGTATCGGAGATCCATGTATAGAAGTGTGTTAAGACTAAATTAAAAATATGAGTTTTTTTTTCAGATGGGTCCTCTCTGTGTGATCCTACTTGATTGGCAAGAAACAGTTTTAATGCTGATTGGTACACCACCATTTGTTTGACTAGTATTATTGAAAAAGTTAGAGAAAAATAACCACAAAGTCACATCCTACTGCGCCATGACAATGCTTTGGTGCACACAGCGAACAAGACAAAGTCATTTTTGGCTTCTGAAAAGATGAAGCTCCTAACCCATCTCGCAGTGCTGACCTCGACCATGCGATTTGTTTTCGCAAAAACGAAAGATTTGATATTAATGCTAGAAGAGACTGTGATAGATTTCATGTGAAAAGCCAATGAAACTAATGGTCTTTATGTTTTTAAAAATGGTTTGAATGGATAGCAAAAAGTTTATAAAGTAATGGAGAATACTTTGAAAAGCAGTAAATATCTTAGTTTACATGTAAATTGTTTGAATAGTTACACAAAGCTTTCAGTGTTGCCCACATAATATAGCTTATAATTTTTTTTTCTCATCTTTGCTTCTTATAGTTTTTATAAAGTAGTTGTAACATGTAATTACATATTGTAATGTGACATCCCTGTGTAGTGGCAGGTAAGAATACACACTACCCCATATCTTCCCGTGGGTGTCATAAAAAGCTACAGAGGGAAACTGAGGCAGAAGATGGGCAGCAGCATCTTTCTGATAACAGTAAAACAACGATAAAAAAACTGCGGTTGCCAACCCCGCTCGCCAAGCGTAAAGATCCTGGAGCTGGAAGAAGAGATTCTGACAGAAGGGCGACCATCTGTCCCAAGGTGTCGGATTTATGGTCCACAAGTCTCTCGTTAACAACGTTGTAAAGATCGAGAGTGTGTCGACGAAGGTTGCGTACCTTATACTCAGAATCACCAAACGGTATTTGCTGAAGGTCATACAGGTTTACGGGCCTACCTCGGCACATCCCGATGAGTAAGTGGAGGAAATGTATGAGGATATATCTAGAGCCATGCATTCCTCGAAAACCCACTATTCGGTGTTAATGGGAGACTTCAGCGCAAATCTAGGCACAAGAGAGAACAGTGAGCTGAGGGTAGGAAAATTTGGAACAGGGCAACGGAACCCAAGGGGCCAGCAGCAGGCCGATTTCACGGAGAAAGAGGGGCTTTTTAAGATGAATTCTTTCTTCCAGAAGCGGCCCCACAGGAAGTGGACCTGGTCGAGCCCCGACGGTTCGACAAAAAATGAGATACTTCATTATGACGACCAGACAACGACTGTTCAGTGATGTCTCAGTGATCGCGAGGGTAAAAACCGGCAGCGATCACCGAATGATGAGAGGCACACTGAACCTAAACGTTAAGTTGGAGAGGTCACGTCTAATGAAGTCAACGCTCCGTCCCCCTCGTGCTCTAATCCATAGTCCCGAAACCTTTCAGCTCAAGCTACAAAACCGTTTTCAGTGCCTAGAAGATTGCAATGCAGTGGACGATATGAATAACAAGCTCGTGAAAACTGTCCATGCAGTAGGAGTTAAGTTCTGCAAGACCCGCCGCAGAATAACACAAAAACTCTTCGATCACACTCTTAATCTCATGGCTGTTAGAGAGGAAATAAAGTTGCAGTCTTCAGTAGATTTGACAGCATACTGGCAAATGAACAGATAGCTCTCCAAAGGCATGCGGCGGGACTTACGCAACTTTAATACTGCTCGTATTGAAGAAGCGATCGAGCGGAACCAGGGTTCCAAAGTCTTTGATCTGTCTGCCAGAAAGAGCCAATTGTCGAAGCTGAAGACCGAGTGTGGCAGCGTCGTTTCCGGGACACCTGAGATTTTGAGTGAGATTGAGAGGTTCTATGGGCAGCTGTTAACATTATCGTTGAAGCCACACGCAAGTGTTTAACGATCCAAGAGCAAGTCTTATCCGACACTATTTCGACAAAGCTTCAGGCTAGGATGGAATTACAGCGGAGCTTCTGAAAGCGGGTGGAAAACCGGTACTGGAAGTCCTACAGAAGCACTTTAATTCCGTCCTCCATGGTGGCATTACACCGGAGGCGTGGAGCAGAAGTGCGGTGGTCTTGTTCTTCAAGAAAGGCGACAACGCTCTTTTGAAGAATTACAGACCGATTTTCCTTCTGAGCCGCGTCTACGTGCTGTTTTCGAGAGTCGTTACGAATTAGCAGAAGTCTTCGAGACTTCCAGCCTTCCGAACAAGCCAGTTTCCGAAAAGGGTTTAGCATCACAGACCACATACATACCCTTCGGCAAATTGTACAGAAGTCCGAGGAGTACAATTTGCCACGATGTCTGGCGTATGTGGACTATGAGAAAGTCTTTGATTTCGTCGAAATTAGGGCGGTGCTGCAGTTCCTTCAGCGGTGCCAAGTTGACTGTCGATATATCGAAGTGCTGGAGTGTTTGTACAGTAGGGCTACGATGGCAATCCGAGTACAGAACCAGAGTACGAAACCTATCCAACTGCAGAGTGACGTTATATCCCCGAAACTCGTCACCACTGCATTGGAAGACGTTTTCAAGCTTCTGGACTGGAAAGGATACGGTATTAACATCAACGGCGAGTACATCACTCACCTTCGATTTGCCGACAATATAGTTCTTATGGCAGAATCGCTGGAGGGCTTAAGCACTATACTCAATGACCTCAATAGTGCCTCTCAACAGATAGGTCTTAAGATGAACATGGACAAAACAAAGATCATGTATAACGTCCATGTCACACCTATGCCGGTAGTTGTTGGGAGCACTAAGCTCGAAGTTGTTGATGAGTAAGTTTACCTGGGAAAAATAGTCCGACTAGGAAGTCCAACTTAGACCTAGAGGTCAATTGACGGATTCACCTCGGCTGGGCAGTGTTCAGGAGATTACGACACATCTTTGCGTTAGGTATACCTCAAAACATGAAAACGAGACTGTACAACCAGTGCGTGTTGCCAGTGATGACCTATGGAACTGAGACGTGGTCCTTCACTGCTGGCTGGATGTGGAAGCTCAAGGTTGCTCAGCAAGCTATGGAGAGGGCTATGTTCGGAGTTTCTCTGCGTGATAAACTTAGAAATGAGTATATCCACAGTAGAACCAGAGTGAACGACATAGCCCAACGGATTAGTAAGCTGGAGTGCCAATGGGCCGACCATATAGCTCAAAGAACCGACAACCGATGGGGAAAAAAGATACCCGAGTGGCGGCTTCGTACCGGCGGACGAAGTGTAGGGCGTCCCCCCACTAGATGGAGTGACGACCTGGTAAGACATGCAGCAATTCGATGGATGCAGGTGGCTCAGGAGCGTGCTATGTGGCATTCCTTGGGGGAGGCTATGTTCAGCAGTGGACTTGTGAAGGGCTGTAATGATGATGATGATGAATGTGACATTTCTAGGGCTACCATTAAACAGCACAAAATATTATATTTACATCTTAACTGACCTTGGATCTATATTTTGTAGCTTCAATGTTTCTATATCAGAGAATTGAGTTTGCAGTTCAGTATTTTTATCAGTTATTTTATCCTTAATAATGTCTGCTAATGTTCTTGTCCTTTCAGGCTTATGGGACATAAACATTTTTAAAGCCTCCTCATCTTCTTCATTGATTTCAATATTGTCGTAATATGTATCTGGCTCCAAATCATCATGGTCTGAGTCCGCTTCATTGTCAGAATTTGATTCTTAAACCAAATATATTAAATAAATATATTTATTATTACATTAAATCCATGAAACACCATGAGCAATTGGTGAGCAAAGTTTTTTACTGTAGACTGGTTAAGTTTTTCACCACCTTTTATAGATATAACATACCATTTAATTCTAGAGGAAGAACAGGTGCTGTGGATCCTCCCACTCCATCATTTCCGAGCTCAACCTGCTGACGTCTAGCCGCCTTCAATATTTTCTTTGACAAATCAGCATTTACAAACTAAAATAGAAAAAAATGTCTATACTATTTTACATCAATTAGGTTTGCTTTAATTTTTTTAATAAATTTTTATGTTTGTAGGGTAAGTGCGTACAATGTTTCCCATTATTTTTCTAAACATATATGTCTTTCTATCTATCATTCTAGTAATAACAATATTATTATAGCCCCCATTGCCTGCTGACGTAACAGTTAAGTGACAAAACTGCTACTTTGGCATAGTCAGTTAGCGCTTTGTCAAGTAGTGTTAGCAGCGTGCATTGGCGAAATTGCACCATAAAACCACCAGCAGGGTCTCGGCGTCTCCCATAAATTGAAATGGAAGATTGAAATTAGAGTAACTAGTTGAAATTAGTTGACCAGTGTCTGGAGGTCTCTAGGGTGTGTCTGGAACTAGCGCTGACCGCGACCTAAGCAGTTGTCCCAGTGTGAAGTGCCACCTCACCTTTGCAAGGACTCCTAACTTCCTTGCAGCTGCTTTAGTTTTGGATACCATTAATCGTCCGAAGTTTAAGTTTGAGGAAATCTCAACCCCCAACAACAGAAGGCGGTCAGTGTATGCAAATGATACATTTCAGAAGGAAGGGGTTAAGATGAGCTGGCTGAAATATTTTATAAATGATATAAATTTGAAAATTAATGAGCCTTGGACTATCGATAAATGCTGAAAAATCTATAGTAATCGGTAGCATTATAAATATATTGCATTAGCTTTTCATTCAACAACCTGCCTGTTCAACTCGGCCTATATCCAGCTGTACTCATGTTAAAAAAGGGTGATAAGGAATAAAGAAAAATATTAAACCTCTGGGCAACTATAGCCATATTTAAATACAATAATATGTGTGATGCTACAAAATGGTCAAGCTATATATTATGTTATTGCAATATGTGTAATAAATATTAATAGTGAGTCAACTCGGCGACTAGACGGAGCAACAATAGGGTGCAGTATGAAGGAGAGCAGAGTCCCCCCCTCTGCCGGCGATGTCTGCGGTAGTACTGGTTGGCTTCGCTTGCGTACCAGTACACCTATTTAGGACTTTCACATACGCTAAATTAGTTGCCCGCTTTTAGTTTTTACCCAGCAACATGATATTACTCTGTATTATTTAGAAATATTGGGTAAGATTGTATGACGCATAAGTAAAATTGAATTCTAATAACCATGTGATTGCTTTCCATCACAATTTTTAATTGAATTGTATATAAGGAGGAGAATTCATTATATCATTAAATTCAACAAAAGACAATTAAAAAACCCAATAATAAATGTTGTAAATATTTGTCAGTTGCACATCTGTAATGAGGCCTGTTGAATAAAGAGAACCAAGATATAATTTTAACCTGTTTTATTAATTCTTTTCAACCCCCTATCCAATATTTTAAACAATATACCTGAGATACTGCTATATAGGTAAAATATAATAAAAGTAGGTAAGTACTTACTAGCACAAGCCTTTGTTTCCACAATTAGGTGAAGCTGCAGAATGCAACTATTTTTGTAAAGTAGTAATTAGTTTGTATCTTTGTATAGAAAAATAAATTATTATCAGGAATACTGATAAAATATAATATTATGATATTATTATCTAAGGAAATGTTTTTGTGACAACCCTTGCATATTTTTAAGAAATTTGACGTCAAGATAGCTTTATAAGTATTTTCCCAACAACAAAGGAGTTACCCACTATTAGTATTAATTACACATATGTTAATTATCTTGTTGAAAATTTTTTTTACATTTAAAATTTTTTTTCATTTATATTTTTCAACCGACTTCAAAAAGGAGGAGATATATAATTCAATTATGTTTTTTTTGTGTAGGTAACACATAACTTTATTTTTGTTGAACCAATTTCGATGATTATGTTTTTTTTTTGTAACCTGTGCTTTCACATGTACCCTATATAAATTTGATCAGTCTGACCAGTAGTTTTGAGGTATCCTTAATAATTTATATTGAAGTCGGTTGTTCAAAATTTTTAATTTACCACTTGTTGACAGTAAAGTCAAAATAATTTAAAAAAATTGACTATAAAATCAACAGTGCCAGACAACAATTTTATGCAAAATATCTAGGTTAAATAAAAACTTAAGATACTTACTTCTTCATCATTATCCTGTCTATTCTTCTGTTTGACTCTGTTCTTGCTTTTAACAGCATTCACTGACTCAATCTGATCTGCAAGTGCAATGCTTTTCCCAACTTGGGATGGCTTTAATTTTTTTGCTTTCCCCATAATGTATAGATGATTAATATTATGTTGATAATTCTTTAATTATATCGTTTGTTTGAAAAATTCTTCACGCTTAAATAACCTGAAACCTTCACATCACTTATTATATAGTCTGTGATAGGACTTAAAATTATGATAGTATAATGTGGTTTGTTTCACGTGTGTAAAACATAGATTTAAGAAATAAGAAAGTAGAACGAAAGGAAAATAAAATCACCAGAAATTAAAAACAAGCATTTTCTACGAGCATGTGTGAGCTGTCAAAACCATCAAGCTAAATTTGACTTTTCATGTATATACAATGTAGTGTACTCTGTGTCTGTGATTTGACTAGCTTGCTACATATATATTTATCTATGAATTTGACACTTACTTACCATAAAGTGGAAAAGATCGTATTTTGCTAAGAACTCAATAAAAAAAATAGTACGCATTAAAATTTCAATAAAAGAATAGTAAAAAATACAAAAATAATATTATTATAACGTCAAACCAAAAGTTAACATTTAGGGCACACATTTAACATTTAAGAATCTGAATCTGGAGGACCTAAGCAATATGCTCAATGACCTCAATAGTGTCTCCCAACGGATAGGTCTTAATCTTAAGTCTTAAGATGAACATGGACAAAATAAAGATTATGTTTAATGTCTATGTCACACCTATGCCGGTAGTTGCTGGGAGCACTAAGCTCGAAGTTGTTGACGAGTATGTTTACCTGGGACAAATAGTCCGACTAGGTAAGTCCAACTTCGACCGAGAGGTCAATCGATGGATTCAACTCGGCTGGGTAGCGTTCGGGAAGCTACGACACATCTTCTCGTCAGACATACCTCAAAACCTTAAAAGGAAATTGTACAACCAGTGCGTGTTGCCAGTGATGACTTACGGATCTGAGACGTGGTCCTTCACTGCTGGCCGTATGAGGAAGCTCAAGGTCTCTCAGCGAGCTATGGAGAGGGCTATGCTCGGAGTTTCTCTGCGTGATAAACTTAGGAATGAGGATATCCGCAGTAGAACCAGAGTAACCGACATAGCCCAACGGATTAGTAAGCTGAAGTGGCAGTGGGCCGGCCATATAGCTCGAAGAACCGACAACCGATGGGGAAGAAAGGTTCTTGAGTGGCAAACTCGTATCGGTAGGCGAAGTGTAGGGCGACCCGCCACGAGATGGAGTGACGACCTGGTAAGACATGCAGGAAGTCGATGGATGCAGGTGGCTTAGGACCGTGTTTTGTGGCATTCCTTGGGGGAGGCATATGTTCAGCAGTCGACTTATGAAAGGCTGTAAAGATGATGATGATGATGATAAATCTGACACAACTTTACTACGACTTTTTGTTTACTAAAAGGGTCTCGAACTGTGTCCACTCTGCCCTCTATTACAAAAACAAGGTTACTTTTACTTTTTCACTAAACAGAGACTCGCACTTAACATGAAAAATATACTTATATCTATTACTATTAAGCCCTGAGATCATTTTACATTACAAAATAAATAACAAGGTTAAACTATTAATCATATAAATCAATTCAAACATAGCTCTTAGAGTATAATATGATGTACCAGGTACTTGATTAAAAATACGATTGACTATTATAGCAATAGCGTGATGCGTTTAAAAAAAATACAAAGAAGTTTAGAGCTTGTTCAATTTTGATGTTATTGATTTTTCACATATATATAAAACGAACTTAATCAATTATCATTTTTATATTGTTATAAATATTATAAGATTTGGAAAGATCGTATATTCTGCGTAGGTACGATTTCGAATACATGATTATCCTATATAGTATAAATTATCTATGTACATGATCGTCATCGTATTAGGGCATAGACATAGTATCTTATCAACATAGACATAGTATCTTATAGACTAAACATTCAGTGACGCCATCAGCGTGTGAAAGGAATGCACGTATATAGTTAGATATAAGAGTAAGGGAGAAGCAAATCTATATTTCTTGTCTTTTTCTACGTATGCGTTTTTGATTGTTTTCCCTCCTTTATTTGACATTAACGATGTCAAGCTCTTTTGAATAATATTGATATTATAAGCTAACAGGTAATTGAATTTAGTGTTTTTTGTGGGTCTTAGTTATTAGGTAAGGTGAAAAACATGGTAAGTTGTAGCATTTTAGGATGCAACAGCATCAGTCAAGGAAAAATGGATAATATTACCTTTCATCGGTAAGTTTGTTTTGGGCTTACATTTGCTACTTGTACTGTGCAGCCCGAAGGTGGACGTAGCATCTCAGTGACGGCACTAGATAGAACGATCGTGTTGGAATTCATTTGATAGGGCTTGTAAAGACCTGGGTTACTGTGATGATCTTACTTCCATGATGGTAGGCTTAGGAGGTGGGGTGAAAGGTCTCAGTGATGCCGCTACGAAACACTCATCAGGCTCATTTGAAAGGGTTCAGGTAGATTGAAATGATTGAGTAAATATACCATGATTTTAAGAAGTAATTAGTTGAAATACCCTTTTAGATTTATTGTGGTGTGTCTTATTACAATGGCGACACTGAAAGTTTTTAGAACTGGCCACTTGTAAACGATATAATAAAAAATAAGTACTAATTTTGAAAATGGAACTCTTTGCCAATATTATTGTATATGTATTTTATTAATTTGTCATTTATTTACGATTTGGCGGTAAAATGAAAATTGTCTGTGTCAAGTCAGCATGAATTTAACGCGAGAAAATTTTCGTACAATGATTTTTTTATTACTTTCGATGTCATTTAAGTCAACAAGAAAGTTATGTTAGACTTAGATTGCCCTTTCACGATGAAGCCCCATCATCATGCCCCTGTTATAATTGGTTTAATGAGTTTAAACGTTGTTGCACTAATCTCACCGATGATCTGCGTGAGGGACGGCCTTCTACGGCGACGACTGAAGATAACATCAGTGTTGTGCGGCGTATGATAGAATTAACAAAAGAGTGATTAGCGGCAGATTTGGACAAGCTTAGACATCGGTATGAGTCAAGTGCATAAATTCATTCATGAGCATTTAGCGGTCAGGAAGCTTTGTGCCCGAGGCCCAAAACTCCGTCGTGTTGGTTGATGTCGTGAAATGGTTCAAAGATTTAACGGAGGTGACTCAAATGCTCTGTTCGACATACTTACGGGTGACGAAAGCTGGATTTATTGTTATTATCCTGAAACTAAGAGACAGTCTGCTTTCTGGGTGTTTCCTTCCAAGGAGTTGTCAACTAAAGTGAATTGAGGTCGAAACGTGGGAAAAAAGATGGTGGCCTCATTCTTTAGAAAGACAGCTCATTACGCAACAATTGTTTTAGAGGATCGAAGAACAGTTACTGCATAGTGGTACACTAACAATGGTTTGTCATTAATTGTTAGTGTACCACTAATAATCAATTGTGTCTTGGATAAAGTTCGGGAGAAACCACCTCGCAGTAGGATCCTCATTCACCACGAAAACGCCTGGTCGCACACCGCCAAGCAAACAATCGACTACTTGGCGACGTCGGACGTGGAGTTACTGGGTCACCCGCCCTATAACCCGACCTCGCACTTTGTGATTTTTTTTTATTTCCGAAAATAAAATAAAACTTCGAAGAAAACGTTTTATGAACGCCAAGGAAGCAGGAGATGCGTTTCAAAATGCTGTCGAAGAGACGCCTAAGGACGAGTGGGCAAAGTGCTTTTCTCAGTGGTTCCATCGAATGCAGCGATGTATTATGTAAATGGACACTATTTTTAAAGATATAATAAAACTAATAACTTGCTAGTTTGTTCAGTTTTTGATTTTCTAAGAACTTTCAGTGTCATCCTCGTACCAGACTGTATAAAAGTAAAAACAGTATCATTACTCAATTTATTATATTTTCAGGCAATTAAGAAACCAGCAAAACTCCCAATTACAAAATTAGAAGTCTGACATATATTTCACAGACAACCAACCATCACCAGAAGGCGAAAATATCTGCGCACTTCAAGAAAGCTTACAAGAATCATCAACACCAATTCATATAAATAACCAACTTACCTATTCACAGTATTTATAATTTAACGATTTTTGACTGGAAGTAAGATTTTTTCCCCTATTTCTACTATTTACTAACTATTCCCCTTACTGAGGACCGTCAAGCACTTACCTGGTCATCACCAGGCCTTCAGAACTTATTATGTAGTAAACCCAGTGCTCAAATTATGTAAATATCGAAAGCTATCATTATACCACACTACATCGTTAGACCTCGTAGAATTTTTTTCTTCAAATTTATATGGGCCACTCTCAAAATTGGTTCACAGTCTGCGGCGATATCGCGTAACATACATACAAAAAAAAACATAGATACACTCGAATTGAGAACCTCCCCCTTTTTAAAGTCGACTAAAAAAACCTCATTTACTGTAATTGTCAATCTGGCTGCCAAGCGTGACGCTTAAGGCTATTCCTACAACGAGAGAGGCCCATGCCCATGTTCAGATGGAAATTACCTATTTAATATAAAATAATCATCAAAATTGGTTCACAATCTGCGAAGCTATCGCGTAATAAAATCTGCATAAACTTTCACACTTTTCCCACTAAATATAAATTTACCGATGAACACTGACACCTGATAATTCGCTGACATTTCTTGATGTATTTTTGCAGTATCGAAATACGCACGTCATCATATTTTCTGAACTTCGACATAATATTAGTTGATATTTTATGCTAAAAAGAGAGAACCGAAAATAAATATTCAAAAATATAAACTGGTTATAAAACAATTAAACATATTAAAACTCTTTCTAAAAACACCACGTCAAGTATGTGTTCAGTAAAATATTTTACATACCTACCATGGGCATGCAACTTAAAACATTATTTTACGAACAAAATGATACGTTTTATGTGCTTCCATCTACATTCCGAAGCGCTAGGCTAGACTTATTTTAATCTCACTAGAGGGCACACATATATTAAGTCTATGCATACGCAATGATCCATGCGCACTACGCAGTTAGTAGCGGTC